TGTGAAAACAATTCGTTTTCAGCCAAAGAGTTGTGCCTTCAGCCAAATTCATGGTTTCCTTTTCCTCCGCAACAAGTGTTGTACATTTAACATTAAAAAAATGAAATATCCACATTTTTTTATTTTTGTATTTCACCATTAACTTCACTTCTGATATTTATTTTTAGGCGAGAAATCCACTGTAATATAATATGATAACAATAATACATTTACCAACAAATACAAACCACTGCACAGCAGGTAGCCCACAGATGGCTCTAACAGGATGTTCATGTTTTTTTGTATTCTTTTGAAGGCTTCTGGAAGCCTGTTGTCCTCGTGTGACTGGAGAGACCTGGATGTGATCTGTGGCGGTCTGTGATGGGAACTGGGACTTAGGACATGAAATGATCCAAGTTTAAGAACACTGCACCTGTTGACACTTTACGTATATTTACTATTCTGACATAACAGACACAGTCTCTGCACATGCGCAATATTTGCGAAAGTATATAATAGGAGACAACAAGCAAAAAACGTTATTTTAAAAGATGTACTTTGGACCTTTGAGTAACACATCTGAGAACCCACTTTTGATTCGTCACGTTCGACACAGGTGAAAGACACAGGTGAAAGACACAGGTGAAAGTAATATGATTAGTTATGTCTGAGCTCGTCAGCTGCCTCGGTTTCAGGGTCCTGGTGGAGGTCCTGTTCAAAGCAGTCTTTTTTTGACATACATGGCCCCGCTGGGTGAAAACACGTGATTAATGAATTATGGCCCCATTCCATTTAGGTGAGTCAGGCCTCCCGGTGTTGTGGTCTTACACACTAAACAGATTGGGACCATAATTCATTGTTTTTTATTAACACCACCTATGTTGACCCTGCCGTGATATGTCGTAAAGGTTGTGTTACGCATGCGGGCTCACTTTCACACATTTGAATAGAGCAGAGCCATCATTTAAGTTATTAATAGCCTGACTGTGCTGATCTGTGCTTTTCCTGTTATAAGTCAAAGGACTGCAGTGAAAATGAAAGGGAGACTGTCACAGAAGGCGTCAGTGTATTTGTAACATGCTGTTACAATCTCACCTATTTCACTTAATAACTTCAACGACAGATGTTGATTGTAGAATCAACCGCATGCATTGAATAGTTGGGCTGCATGCCGGGAACCAACAATACATTCTTGTAACTTTTTTTTATTGTTTTCATGTCTAAAAGTATTATTTTCAAGGATGTCAGCACATTTTTTCTCAGTTGGCGTAGGATAGATTGACAGTAAGGGAAAGTAACAGTGTACAGTATTGCATCTATTCTAGCCTTTGGGAATATTTTTGTGTTTTACAAATTTCTCTGCGTGATTCCGAGTATTTTAATATATATATTGGTTGGCGCATATTGTTGTTTGACGATGTTAAGACGATGAGCTGTAGTTGGTTAGTGCTCTCTGTGGAGGAATGTCGTTTTTGATTTTGTGAAGAAAGAAAAGATGGACGGATAATATAAAAAATGTTGTTTTAATGACCAGTTTATTGCAGTCCTGTAGTGAATAATCAAAAAAGTGTGAGAAGAAATGTGGTAAATGTTCCTTAAGGGTCCTAAATTAAATAATAAAGCATGCTTAAACATTAAAATATAATTATTAAATGACAGTTTTTAATTGTATTTAGAAAAAGAAAAAAACTGCCTACCCCAGCTTTATTCTAAGACGGCTTGATTTAATGAAAGGCAGTTAAGGCTTTCTAGCTACTGACAATGAAATCGAACTCGGCAATTCTTAAAAACTTAAATCAGGAATTTATGGACAACAAAGAATTAAGCTGGTAGTCGTGCACATTTACACCAGTGCTCGAATAGTTTCCTAAAAAGTATCCCGTCGTTAAACACGTACCCAAATACAAAAGACAAACTCTTCTGTCTTAGAGCCAGGACAACAGAACGGGCTAATTGTAATGACTTATAATGTAATTACTACAGGGTGGCCTAATTTTGAGTTGGATGTTCCCATTATCCAATCTTTCTGTTTGGATGTCTGTGGATCTGATTTGGATCAGCTCTGCAATGCAGTTGACATTTAGGAAATAACCTTCCAGTCAGTGGAGGGCGGTTTTTTGTGTGTTCCTTTGTACCTCCTATCTCTGCTCACGATGTTCTGTGATGCCCTCTGTCCGTCTGCTGCTGAACAGACCTTTTGACTCTGTTGACCTTAGAAGTAACCGGGCTGAGCTGTAGATCAGCAGCCTACATACATCTGACATACGATACAGGCTTCTACAAATCAGAGCATTATGCACCGACTGGCACGCTTTCTCTGTCTCTCTCTCTCTCTGTCTGTCTCTGTTTGTCTCTTTGTCTCTGTCTCCCTCTGTCTTTCTGTCTGTCTCTCTGTCTCTCTCTCTCTCTCTCTTCCTCTCTCTCTCTCTCTCTCTGTCTGTCTCTCTTTGTCTCTGTCTCTCTCTCTTTCTCTCCCTCTCTGTCTCTGTCTCGTTCTCTTTGTCTCTGTCTCTCTCTCTTTCTCTCCCTCTCTGTCTCTGTCTGTCTCTCTTTGTCTCTGTCTCTCTCTCTTTCTCTCCCTCTCTCTCTCTGTCTCTGTACAGATGCCCCATCTGCTGAAGAAACTTTTTGGCTGTTCTCCAAAAAATAAATATCTGTCTTGTGGCAAGTAAATATATTGTGCAGGAAATCGTGTCCAATACATAAGCCAGACTGATACGTACGACACATGCACTGTCTCATTTTTTTGTTTTCAACATGTTGAATCAGTATGCTGATTAATACAAAGATTACGAATACCTTGGAAAGTCTGAACTGTCGGCACCACTGAGGTCTCTGCACCCTCAACGTGATTGACAAACCCTCGATGCAGATCTACGTCCTCTCATTTTGAACTGAGGACAGACCAGTAGGCAACCTCCGGTTCTGAAAAGTGAAGCCAAAAAACATACCTCTGGTTGTATAGAAGTCTATGAGAAAATGACTCTACTTCTCTCTTGATTTATTACCTCAGTAAACATTGTAAACATGAGTTTATGGTCTCAATCTCTAGTTTCAAGTCTTCTTCAATACAGCATGATGTTCATTTAGTATTTTTTATCTTCGGAAAAAGTTCCCGAGTACTTCTTCCACAACTGATATGGGCAACCCAGGAACAACTTAATACCCTGAAAAAACCAGCAGCTCCCAGAGTGTTCGACCAGTCTGAAGTAGGCTGAGGTTAGTGCATGGCTAATTCACCGGTGTTAGCATCCATTTGCCAGCTCTGGTAAAGACTAAGCTAAAGTAAATGATTCAAACTAAATTTGGTAAGACGTGAGACTAGTTTTACACCAGTAAATTACCTGTACCATACATGATCTTTTATATCAACAGAATTTAGCTCAAATGTACAAGACAGTTCTGCTACAGCAGAAATGGTTCAGCTGGATTATATTTTACCCGATTTACGTCACCACCACCGTGTGCATATAGCCTATTGTGTATGGATCCTTGCAACATGGGTCCATGCATTGTAATCCTGCAACGTGAAGTGATAGATGTATGGCATGGCAATGGGTTTTAGGATATCTTCATGGTATCTCTGTGCATTTACATTATCATCAATAAAATGCACCTGCTTTCATTGTCCATAGTTTATGCCAGCCCATACCATAACCCCACTGCTCCCAAGCGGCCCTCTGTTCACCATGTTGACATTAGGAAACCGCTTGCCCACACAGCGCTATACATGCTGTGGGCCATCTGCCTGGTACAGTGAAAACAGGGATTTGTCTGTGAAGAGCATGTCAACTGCCAGATGCCGTTGAAAGTATGTTGGGGAAAAATCTAAATGACTAATTATTATGCATTTAATAATTAGTGAATGTTATACATCTGACATAAGCTCATGTCCTCTGTACGTGTTTAGAGCTGTGTCCTCAAATGGTTCCGTGTGAACTTTCTGTGACACTAGGTGTCTCAGCAAATGTTTAATAAACCTGTAGAGGCGTCAAATACTTACGCCTGGCTGATTTGCGACCATGACTTCCTGATTACGAGAAAGTGACCCTTAGACTAGAAGAATAAATGTCCTGTGATTAAAGATTTTTACATCGGCTCGAGCTAATTTTTCAAACAAAGTATAAGCAGTTGTCCACTCAAGTTGGTCACAACGACAAACTGACAAAAGAGAGAACAGTTGAAAAACCTGGAAAAGACATTGGGAAATTATGGTAGTGAAATGAACATTCAATCCAGGGGCAACAGTTCTGGTGGAACTTTTCTTATCAAGACCTGCCCTGGGTAGACTTCAAGCACTAGGATTGACCAGGTAGCTGTAACACGATTTGTTCAAGTCCTATGCTCTGACCATTAAGCTACACTGACCCTAACTACTCACGGTCAATGTGTAACCTTAACCAATCATCTCCGTCTCAACCAGCTACGCAGGTCGGGTCTTGCCAAGAAATGCAGTGGGATTCATAATTGCGCGTGGCTCCACATCATACAATTGTGCAATTATGAATCCCACTGCAATTAGAGGGAGGGGGGACATTTACTTTCAGAGCAACGGGACTGCCCCAACTGCATTGCCCATCAACTACCAGGTAGCACATGTGAGCAGTCCAGATGGCGTTCTGTTGTCCTACCGCAGCCACACATTAGCATGACTCCCTATTCAAAGCAGCACGGCTGAAGCCTCAAGAGGAGAGGAGAGAGATACGGCTGGAATAGCCTACATCCAACACCACCAACAAATTTGGTCTTGAGACAATACTGCAAGTGCTTTGACTATCCTACTATATCTACCACAACCAACCCCACTACAACTACCACAACTCCCACTACCAGAACTACCTGTGAACGAAAGATCAATGGGCCTCATGGCAAACCTCCTGACCCAAGAATGTTTTACAAATGTGCCAATCAGCTGGCCCACACCCACAGCTGCTCATTGAAATTGGGTGTGAAGTGGGTGTGTTCCTGTTGGATAATTTTTTATCACTGTGTAATTAGATGTGCTTTACATGCATACTCATACATACTCATTTCAACAAGGACAATAGGCTTGTTCTGTTGTCACAGCTCAGAGAGACAAAGGAGCTGGCTGCTAAGAAAAGCATTTTTATTTTTACACAAACATAAATTGAACAATACAAAGGGTAGGTATCAGTTGTCAGTCCTGAGGTGCATGTATGGGTGTGTGTAGCAGTAAATGGCAATAACATATCAACCCAACAAAACAGTGTAATGCTGCTGGCTGAAAGGATCTCCTCTCTCCGAGAGCGAGGCTGCCAAATAAAGATGGTATTTAAGCCACACACTGCCACTACCACAACCATCCCCACTACAACTACCACAACAACCACCACTAGAACCACCACGACCATATCTGAACAACCTGAAAACCCCTCTATTGGAAATATCAATGGTCATTATGCCAACCCTGCTGATCTCAAAATGTTTAACGACTTTCCAATCAAATAGCCCACACCCACAGCTCCTTAGAAATTTGGGTGTTGAGTGGTTGTGTTCCTGTTTGGTAATTTTTTTAATCACTGTGTAAGCTTTGCCGTACATGCTGTTACTCATTTCAACAAGGAAACTAGCCTTGTTTTGTCCATGTATTGTTGCTTTGTCTTAACATCATGTCATAAAGGTGCCACCCTACGGAGGAAGCGTTTTGGCCACTTGTATCTGCAATCTCATTCTTTTGGTCTTTACCCAAAGCTCATGAATATAGGAGAGGGTTCGAACGTAGATGGACTGGTGAATCAAGAGCTTTGCTCAATTCCCTCTTCATCACAACGATACATTACAACGCCCGCATCCCTGCTGACGATGCACGAACCGTCTATCCATCTCCTGCTGCATTTTACCATCACTTGTGAACAAGATCCCATAACCCTTAACCGCCTATGCTTGGGGCAGTGACTCAATCTCAACCCGTAGAGCGCAATCCACGGGTTTCTGGGAGGGAACCATGTCCTCAGACTTGAGTAATTACTCTCATCCCAACCACTTTTACACTTAGCCGCAAAGCGCCATAGTCCGTGCTGAAGGTCACTTTTCTTTTGTGCCAGTTTCCATCAGTGTATGATTACAAAATTGGAAAATTGTGCCCGACATAATTGCCACACCCCCACTCCCTACCCCTTTAAAGCATCGCAGCAAGACATCTGTCAGTCATCAGTCACAGCAGAGAGACGGTGTATGCTTCTTTCACCATTTGTAAGTATACCTTTTACTTTGATCTTAACAAACCACCTTTTTACTGATTTTCTTTTTTCTGCTATGTATATTGCTATACATATATCACATACAGGGATACTGTATGTGTGGGTGGATGCTGAGCACCACCATACCTTTGGCATTTGAAAGCTGTAGTGTACATTTTTCTCTCAATTCTGGTCACTTAATTGGACAATTTAAATGTTTATCTGGGTGAGAATGGAGAATATGCCTTAAATATTTTTTGGGGGGGCTGA